GATCCTAAGATTTGTATTATAGCGAAGTATATAGGAAAATATCGTAGGCTCTAAATAAGCCGGAATAGTAAAATTAGGGGAGGATATAGGGCCTAGAGAATATTTTAAGGAGGAGACCTCTAGGTTAGAAGTAAAGTTGATCGGGCCAGGGCGGTTACAATTAGAGGAGGCCATTATAGATAATATTATAATAGAAAGAAAGGAAGAAGGAGGGAGTTAGGAAGGGGTACTATAGGGAGGATTATATAAATAGAGGAATAAATCCTTACGCTACTATAAATAGGGGTAAAATTAGAGGATAGGAAATAAAGGGTCGGAGCGGAAGTAAATATAAATAGAAATAGTAAGGTAGAGGAATAGGGAAGGTAAATAGTGAAATAGGATAGAAAAGTAGAAGAAAAAAAGGAGAAGGAGTAGTAGGGGTAGGGACGGAGAAGCGGCGAACGAAAGCAGCGTCCCTAATTGTATTCCTATTATTCTTATTATTCCAGTGCTAGCATAATATAGTAAAGGAAGAGACGAAATTAGTTCGCTATAGTAGTGGGTAAGAACTATTATAGCTATAAGCAAAGTAGGAGCGGCGTGGGTAACCTACGACCGAAATGGAGTTGGAGGTTTTTATCCGGCGGCGCTTAACGCCGTACGGTTTTCCCCTCCAAAGAACTGGAGAGGGACCCTATGCTAATAAGGCGCTATAGTTATATAGTAAAGGGAATAAGACTATTATTATTATTATTATTTATTCTTATATTAATTGAATTAATCAATATCGTCCGTTACCGACGTAAACGTTGCTATTTCTTCTATCGGCTCGATTATCGACCCTATAAACAAATAATTTTTCGATAACTTTTTAAAGGCTCTCAATAGCAGCCCCGACCTAAGTACCCTAACCGAATAAATTATTCTTAAAACTGCTTCTAAATTTGCTAATTACCCTACTTTCGCTCTTATAGTTATCGTACTTACCTAATTTATTAAATAAGATATAATTAACGCTAATATATTTATTGTAATTATCAACAAAGTATTCAAAGACCGGGATATAATCATTGCTATACTTATTAGTAAGGTCGCTCTCCTTGAGAAGTAGACATCGTGACCCCACAATTGATCACCCCCCACAACGGATCGCGTCTCGCATCGTATTTTCCCAACAACAACAACAATATCCTCAATCTATCAACAACTATAACTTCCTCAAATCAACGCCGATTGCACTCAAACCAATCGCAATAGATTCAGCAAAAGAACAATTCATTAGCAATGCCCTTAAAACTATCAACAACAGCTTATCCCAACGATCTGCAGCGAAGCAATACGGTATTGCCCAGTCCACCTTATCCAAGCGCATGCGAGGTACTACATCCAAGCGCAACGCCAAAATCTCAACGCAATGGTTATTATTAGTATAGGAGGGGTTTATTTGCAAGTGGATATTAAATAAGGAGAAGGTTGGCTATACTCCCAATTATTGTTAAGTAGTTAGATTTGTAACGTCGATATTAAAAAGAGGAGGTAACAATAATAAGTTAGGCGCCCAATAGATAAATCGATTCCTAACAAGGAATCCCTCTATTAAGACTAAACTTTCGAACCCTCTCGAGTCAGCGAGAATTAGAGGCTCTACCCAAGAAACTTTCACAAGGTTCTTTAACCTTCTAGAAGCCCAGATTTGTAATAAGGGTATTATCCTAGTTAATATATCGAATATAGATGAATATAGGCTTTAAAAATTAGAATCTAAGGATAATAAAATACTTAGGATTACCCTAACGAAGAAGGTATATTTAATAACGACCGATATAACAATTTAGGTATTTATTATGGAATATAAAACTACTGAGCGTAAAAGATTGATCCTTATTATTATTTTCTCTAGGGTATACCTTCAAAGTCAATAGTTCCCTAATAATATAAAGGATAACGAATTTAGAAGCTAGAACTATACTAGTATATCGTCTAGATAGAGCAATTTAGAGATTGCTTTACGCTAGTTAAAAGAAATCTACATTCCAGAAACCTATACTAATAATAATTGGCGTCTCTTAATCCTTAATAAATATTCAAATCATCTATCTAATGATTTCCTCATTAAGGCATTTCCTTACAAAATTCAATTACTCTTTTTACCCCCTTATATTTCTTATAAAATTCAACTACTCGATTGATCCGTATTTACTACTATTAAATCATATTTCAGGGATTTAATAAAAGATTTTACTTCCTTTCCAAAATCTATACTAGTAAATAAATAATAGTTCCTCCAATACTATTAGGAAGCTTTAAGAAGGGGGGGTAAGTACTAGAAACCTCAGATTAGGGTTTAGAAAGATTGGAATATAGCTAACGAATAGATCTATTATCCTCGACGATCTAGAAGCTGTACTGGATGATAATGCCCTACTAGCCCAGCCATTACTACTAGGAACGCTACTAAATAAATTTCTTTCATAGGCCAATATTATTTTTCCTATTCCTTAGAAGTCTAGGAATATACTGGGAGGTATTTACAACCTTCCTTCTATCGACCGTAATATTAGGACTGCTTTTATAAAAGCGGCTAAGGCTATTGATACTAAGAATGCTGAGATTGCTGCTAAGGATCACCAGATTTGATATCTATAGACTCAATTAGCTTTCTAGAAACCTAGATTTAAAAGGAAGGTTAAAGAAGGGGGTAAAAATAGATTTGTAAGGGTAGAAGAGATTTTGAAAGTTTGTAATGCTTTAAAGGAGGTAGCTCCTAAGCGAAGGAGGGTTACTACGGCAATAACGACGAGACCACTGCAAGAGTTAGGAAAAGCCCTCCAGCCAATCCTCCATATTATTGAAGAGTATTAGGAATAAGATTATGACATTTTGAACAATTAAAATCGCTTCAAAAGTGGCCAGTTTTCAATGTTATCTGGGTCCTGGTGATGAAGTTACATGATCCGTTGTAGGGGGTGATTCGTTGTGGGGTCACGACTTCTAGTTTACTATTGCTTGAAATAAATTGATTAATTCCAACTCGGCTCTCAATATTGCTAATGAAGTTAATAGTAAATTTAAGAAGGACTATACTGCTAACCTTCGTAAAAAGGATAATACTTTTAAAAAAATTAAAAAAACTTTCCGCTAGTACGTAGATAGTGACCCGGCGGACCTTCCCCAGCCTACCGACCCGGACGATAATATTAATATTATATTTACCCTAAAGTTAAGGACTAGTAAGGACCCCGATATTTTTACTAGCAAGGGTAGTACGACTGTTAAAAGTACTAAATTTTACTATACTCAGCGTACTAAAATCGAATTATATTAGCTCTAAGATATTTAGTATTCTAATTAGAATAATTGTTATAAGGTTGTTTAAGTACTTTAGTACTTGGGTAGTACGGTTTTTTATACGTTATTTCCCTAGGTAATATTAATATTAAAGGAGGTTGATAAAGATAAGTGGAAATGGAAATCTAGTGAATTCCTATTTGTTTATTCTAATATTAAATATAATTGTATAGACCTTACCTTCGAATTGCGTTGCGAATTCGAAATTCTCAAAATAGTTAAGAATTAGAAGTAGTTTAATTTCGAGGATAAGTTTACTACCCTTGTAGATCGTTGTGAATTGGACGATTCTATAAAGACCTATTACCTAAAGGTAAAGGTTACTAATAAAATCCGTAATATTAGTGCCTATTAGTAAGAACTCCCTACCCTTAATATTTATAATAAGTAGTTCGCCCTATACTATATATTCGCTATTAATTTTATAGAGTATAATTGGTATAATAAAATTAATATCCTATTTATAAAGAATTCTAGCTCCGGTCATAGCCCTATAATTATTAAACGTACTATTAATTAGGGTAGTACTACTATAGATTTTAACGCCCTTATCGTTTCCTTTACCCGTATAACTAATAAAACTGTTATTAACTACCGTATGTAGAATAACCTTTATAAACGCTACGGTAATCCCGGTTATTAAGCGATTAATTACCGTAATAATATCAATATAGGTACTTAGCTACGGGGCTCTAGGGAAGTAAAAATCGTAAAACCACCGATAGTCGACGGTATCTGCCTTACTACCGTCAATATACCATTAGTGTCAGACTACCGTCCTTGGGCGCTATGTACCGTTGTGAGGAAAATTACCGTTGGAGGTCATGGAGCGACAAGTTATATTTTGGGCAGTTGCAAAATGTCAGATCATATGAATGGTAGTCAGGATGAAGGTGCTCCTTCCGTATTATAGTCGCAAGTTAGTATATTACAATAAATGCACGGAAGGTATTATATAGTACGGGTTCGCACTTGCCTAATTACAGAATATAGTTAGTATATCGCATCTTACGATACGTTAATGCAGTATATGATTGAACGTAGTAATAATACTAATAAAAAATAATAATAATAGCGACGATAATAATAGGACAAAATAATAAAAGGGTATAGTAAAGAATATAAAATACAGTTCCCCTGGGCGGAGCCAATGTCCAGGGGAGACAGAGAGACGCCCCTATAAATTACTTAATATATAGTCAAAAAAAAAAAAAAAAAAAAAAAAAACTCAAAGCTGAACTAAACAGTTAACCTTTATAAAAAGTAACACTAATAATAACCATTGAGCTATAAAGCTTAAATAGTTTCTTCAATAATTAGATGGATTTTCTTCTTGATATTACTTACTTTAAGAAAAAAAAAAGAAGAAAAAAAAAAAAAACTCAAAGGCAAAATTTTGAATTTTTATTTTTATTTTCTTCTCTTTACTTAAATTTTCGATTTTCAACCCTAACCCTAATACCCTAGATTTCCAGGGTTGGGACTTGGTCATTTCTAGGACTTAGCTATTTCTGGGACTTGGTCCTCTTTGGGAACTTGGTCATTTCTAAGCTACGGTCGCAACGAAAATCTTCATTTTTAACTTCTTTTGCATTTTTCTCAATAACTAGGGTGTGTACCACAATGCAACCGGTACCAAAATGACCGCCTTTTCTTTCTCGTCATTCTGACACCATATGCATTTTGATGCACGTAACGGTCGCGGAGCAATCTCCGTTGCAAGGGAAAAAGTGGCTTTTTCGCTCTGCTATTCAAACCGTGTCTTGCTTGGCGCCAAGTTTTCCTTTTTAGGCCTGCCAAGTACGTGCCAAAACGGGTAATTTTCTACATTCTGGCCTATTATAGATAAATACGCCGCGCCTTCCTCGCTTGCGGCGTTGGAGTGGGCCCATGGACTACGACCTTTGGTGTGGATCTTCCATGTCACCTTTCGGGCCCACGACAACGGCCGGGCAAGCTCTAAAAGCAAGGGCGTCTCAATTAGCTACCTATCTACAATAGAATATACTCTTCTTTCTATAGCGATATTAAATAGTATATATATAAATTAAATAGATATTACGACGTTGAATCGTATACTATTCAATACAATACTATTGATTACGAAACTACTAATTATAATGCTATTATTAATTGGATATAAGTATTATATAAGATTGTAATAATTGATTAAGGACAGCCGTATATTAAATAATAAATACATTACTCAAAGGTACAAATACTTTATACCTTCATCTAAGGTAGTAGCCGATTAGAGGATTGTAACTAGTAAAGAAGATGTAGTAATAGGTATACGTATACGCTTAGGAATAGGAGGCGTAATATAGAAGTTATTAGTAAATCAAAATATAATTTAACTATAATAAGCGCTATAATAATTATTATTAAAGCGATCTTTACGTTTGTACTATAGACAAACCGGGCTATCATTATCTTTATCGTTATTTTCCTCGTCCTCCTCCTCTAAGTAATAGCTACTACTATTACTACTACTACGGGTACTACGGGCACTAACGGAGTATTAATGTTTATATTGACAAGAAAGATAAGTAAGGGTATATTGTTTGCGGGACCTACTATTTTCGCTTTGGTTATAATTACCGTTGCTACTATAACCGCCGTAACTATAACCGCCGTAACTATAACCGCTGTGACCTTTAGTATGGGAAAGCCTCCCCGCACCCTGTCGAATCCTATACGTACCCTCCCCTACAAAGAAAAGTGGGACTACAGCTGCATGACACCTGACATTGAAATTCCCGTTTTTGCCCCCTAAATTAAATCTTGCAAATATATATAATATCCCCTTTAATTTAATCGTTCCTTTCACTCTTTTTCACACGGCCAATTACACACAACACACACCGCAATACACTACACTGTAATGTACTACAGCGCACGTGGTACAATACACGTACTCCTTTAATTTATTAATAACCCCTTCAAAGTATATAATCTTACTCAAATTAATTAATTTTAATTGCTTTTAACTGTTAATAAACGCTCTAGATATCTCTTAAAGCTAGGCCTCCATTAACATAACCCCTCTCCCCGGCGTAACTTCGTTATTATCGTCATTGCAATTCAAATATTTAATTTATTACCTTTACTAGTAACGCCTCCTTCGACCCCAATACCAAGTGGGAATTGCCCGCCAGCGACGCTAAATTTATTCTACTTCCCTAACCTATATTTAATACCGCCTACTTCAAGGTTAATAAATTGTGCTATTATTACTACATCAATATTATTACCTAGCGTAGTTATATATACAATAAATTAGATAACTTAGAATTAGATAGTAAGCAGTAGAAGGTAGTATTGCGTTATAACTATACTAAGTTACGAAAATACCCTAACGATAACCCTTATAAGAAGTAGTATACTATATTACGAAAGATCGTACCCGGTTGCCCCTTCCGGATTATAGTTTGGAATTTTGAAAGTAATAGTTATAAATAGACTATTAGAGTAATAGACCGTATATATCGAAGGTACATTCCTTCTTCAGATTTCTCTATATATTTTATATTTTAAGTACGAAGTATTAATATGGATACGTAGGATGCTATTCTAGGTTTATTTAACTAACGGGATTTAATAGTCCGTTCTATCTACTCTACCATTCGATAATATTACCCCAAACTCTATTTTACATTCAAAGATCTCGATAATATACAATAAACGTTACAATCCAATAATCGAGATAGCTATACAAATACCTAAACTTTCGTTAAAAAGTTTGATAGTAATTAGTTTATTACTCTAAAGTGAATTGACTTTGACTACCATAGGGATGAGGATGGGGAGGATAGGACTATATTGCGGTATACTCTATAGTTAATTTACGTTTAAGGGAGGATATAGGTACAGTACCCTTATATTCTTTTATTTAATAAAATATATAAGACTAACTATTACTATACCGCCTTAATATAAAGGGTAGTACTTACCCCTAAAAAAACTTCAATACTAGTCTTCTAAATAATTATTAAAAATAAGAGGGAGGAGGGATTTACATAACTAATTAATAAAATTAATAAGGTAATTAAAGAATTAGGTATCCTATTACTAAAAACTATTATTACTCATAGGGATACTTAGTTGATTATAGTAATTAACTACGTCTTCTTAAATACCTAGAAATAGCGTTATATATAGTATATTAATTATAACGTTAGCTTTACCTTAAGAAGGATTGGGTACGTGTGCCTCCTAGTAATAAGGATGAAAGGGGGGAGGAGGAGGTTACCGCGCTACGAAAGGAGGAGGTCGATAAGGGGTTTAATAAAGAGGAATCTAATAGCAATAATCCTGGTACGCTATCGTTATAATCTGTTAATAGTAAGGTAGCAGTATAATAATTATATTATAAAGCTATTATCTAGTAAAAGGAAGAAGATTCTGACCGATTATATTATTTATACTAGAAGGTTAAAATGGTAAAGAGATTTTAAATTAATTTAAGCCCATTGCCCTAGAAGGTAATTAATATTAAATTAAGGCTCTTCTATCTACAATAATATATAATTTATACTACTATTATACTAAATTTCAAAATTATTTAGATCTTCTTTTGTTATTAATTTGAAGGATCTTAGGAAATTAGTATTAAGTAAATCCGGTTAAATATAATACCTTATAAAACTAAATATGTAGGATACTATATAAGGAATCACTTTAATCACAATTAATATACTATATTACTAAATAAATCTAATAATAGCTCCTTAAAGTTATATAATCTCTCTATACGTAGCAGTTTTATCGATTTTTATAATACTTATTCTATTTATATAATTATCCGTTATATACGCTTTAAAGACAAGTTTAATATCTTTACCTCTTATATACGGGTTAGATAGGTAGGTAGTAAGTAAATAGGTACAACCCTATTAGAATTAATTATTTAGGGGTTCAATATAATTAAATGGTAATACTAGAAGTTTAATGTAAGCCTCCCTACTACTAAACACCTATTTAATATTCCTTTAGGACCTTAGACTAATATTTTATTTATTTAGTATAGCCTTCCTTATGTATACGAAATAGAGAGAATTTTTAATAAGGATAGGGAGGGTAATATATTAATAAATAAGGAGGATATCTACCCGTTCTAATATTTTCGCTAATGATGTATAAGCTCCTATTTTCCCTACTTAATTCCCGTTATTTCCCTATATTAATATATATTATAGGATACAGTAAATAGATATCTACAACTCTATTCGGTAGCTAAAGAGGTCCTTAAAGGCCGCCTTCCCAAATAGAGTAGCCCGTTTAGTAACGAGGCTATTCTACTAGCGCCTTTAGTACTACTAGTACCGACAATACCCTATAGGAAGTTTAGGAATATTTAATTAGTTGGGGTATTAGTACGGCGCAACTATTCCTAGTACGAATTGGGACCTAGTATTAAGGATATAGATGCCCGTAATACCCGTAATTATAATGGAAACGAAGTACGTAATTATATTAAGGTAATAAATAACGACAACAAGGAAGAGGACAAGGAGTTAACGAAATACTAGGTAGAAAGACTTCGAACGGTACAGTAAAAGGAGAAGGAAAAGGAGGTTACAAATGAACACTTATTGAAGTATTGTGGGATCACCAACGAGATCAAGCGGTTGGATACGATTGATTGAGTGCTATGGAGAAGAAAGAGGAAGAGGGAGACTGGCCGAGTCTGGAAGGCTAGATATGGTGCGGTCTGGGCAGGGCACAGAGTGGGGACTGGGCTGTGCCCAGTGCTGTGCCCAATGAATGCTAGAGACCCACCAACATACCCCTATAGATTGGAAGACTGCCAAAGAGTGTCTACCTCTATACTATTTATATTGTAATATCTTTTATGGTGTAAATGATATTTTCAAGCCCAAGGAACCTTCTTCTAGACTATACCTATTAATTTAATAAATTTAGCGTGCTTATCCGCCTTCAACGGCTTTGTGAAACCGTCGGCTAGTATCTCGTCACCCGGTAAGTATTCGATTGTGAATACCTTCCTATTTACCTCTTAAATTAATTATTTATACTATATATCGATATATTTATTTCTAGCGGGTAGATTGGGGTTAAGCATCCGGTCTTTAGTATTGCTATTATTTATATAAAGAATCCTATTAATCTTGTAAAGTCCCAAATTCATATTTAAATCATCTAGCATACTACCAACCCAGTCAAGAGCCTTGGCCGTAGGCACTAGATTAATAAACTCTATTTTTGTTGTGTTGGTTGTGATAAGATCCTGCCGTTTTGATTTCTAAAGGACGGGACTACAAGTAAAGAATATAATATAGCCCGCTATATTCTTCCTTAAAGGAATATTATTAGTAAAGGAGGCGTCCGTATATATATAAAAGGATAGGGTTATTAACGGCGAGAGTATGCCGCCTAGTTCGATACTTAAATCGGGATATTTGGATAGGTATCGTTATAAATGCTTTATAACGACGAAATAACGGTCGGTAAGCTTCTTAATACCCTCTAATAGTTTATTAACGGTAAATGCGATATTTGGCCGGGTACTTATTAATAGCCAATTTAATAAACCAGTTTTTTTAGAATAAGATTTAGCTTCTTTTAGCAATATATTATTACCCCTATAGATCTTATAGTCCAGTAGCTATAGTGTTTTAACTCCGTAGAATTTACTATTATTAAATTTAGCGATAACCGACTTAATATACTATTATTAGGATATAAAAACTATACGAGTTTAGTAGTCCCTTACGATATTGTAGCCTAGAAGTGTACGTACTTGTCCCAATTCTTTAAATTTAAAATAGCTAGCCAATTAATCTTTGACCTAATTAATAATAGTTACAATTAGCGCGGCAATGAAAAGGTTATTAACGTAGAGAATTAATAATATTCCCAATATTTTATTAATAAATAAGTAAGAATCTGCAGAGATAGGGATAAATCCGGTTTCTTTAAATACTGGGACAAGGGTATTAAACTAGTAAAGTAGTGAACGTTTAAGACCGTAAAGAGCTTTAATAAATTGGCAGACTACGTCTTCTTTATTATAACTGGGAATAGGCTTTTCAAACGCTATTGGTTATTTAATGTAATATTGGGTATCGTTGGGGATAGAAGTATTTAACAAGGTAGTATCGAAATTAAATTGGAAATACTCGTGATTATTTATAATTATAATAGCCAAGAATAGTCTAATATTAATAGAGTATACTACTGCTATATAGATTTTTTATACTGCCTAATTACCTTATTCGAAATTACTATAAATTACCTATCTAGCTCTAACTTTCTAATCTTTGGTATTAATATCGTATTTCTCGTTATATACCTATTTTCTAAATAATACCTCTATATCTAGAAATTTAGGGATTAAAGTATAAATTCCCTTATCTTCGAATACCTTAATTTACTTTTTTATTATTAATAACCAATATGATTCAAAATTATCCTGCTTTCGTACAATTTAATAATTCTTAGGGATAAATCGTTGAACTTTACCGGCAGCGATAGTTACTATATTGTAATTAACTTTAATAATAGTAAGGCAATATACAGGTATTATCCGTCTTACTAAACGACCCTCTATTATACTATAGAAATTATTAAATAATTTTACCGAGTCTTGAACAATATTACTATTACTATCTTTTATTTATTAAATACCGTATTTGAAATCTAATAATTTAACCGTAGAATAACAAAGTCTACCTTTACTTATTTCTAAATTTAATACTTATATATCAATCCTAGAAAGTTAACTTCCCTATCCTAACTATACCTAAATAGACAATTAACCTATAGGGTCTAGCCAAGTTATTATAAACTCCGAATTCGGGGCTTATTACTCCGAATTCATCTTCAATTATAATTGTAATTTACTAATTCGCAACATTAACGACGGAATATATTATCGCGTACAAACGGGGTTCGATATACCCATCGGTAGCAATCGCACTACTAAAACTAATTATTAAAGGCTATTAAAAAGCGGAATACCTAGAATAATATATACGGTTAACTCATTAAAATCGCATTAGTCGTAGTCGCAGAATATAAGGTCTTCTTCATTAAGATCTTCAAAATTAAGAAAATCGTCGTTATATTCAATAATCTCTTTAACCAGCGAATTTAATAATTAACGTTATAGCAGATTTAGTAATAAGCGTACTAGCGACGAGCGCGCTAGTAAGGTTTCTAAAGCCGGGGTTATTATCAATAACGGAATCGGTATCGGTAACAGTAAAACCAACGGCGCTTTATTAATTAGAATATTTAGAAGAACTATTATAATTATTAGAATAATCAAATTAATTAGAATAATTATAGTAACTAATATAATCATAGTAACTAGAATAATTAAGGGTATTAATATAACCTCTAACAATAAAAGTAATATAATCATTATCTCCCATATCTTTTTAACTTCTTCTTATTAAGGTAATTCTACTACTTTCAATAAATATAATTATAAAACCATACCGTCGACCTTAACCCAGATTTAATAGCCGCTATCCGCTACTTTATTAATTTTATCGACTATTTAATCTAAAAAAATAATATAATATTCAACAATATTACCATTACTATTACGCATTAGGTTTTTATTAACTATATCCTCCTCAAAGAAAGTTACCGCACTAGTTCTAACAATCTCGCTAATATAGAAATTCCAAATAAATACAATACAACTATAAATATTATTAAAACCAATAAAATAACCCTTCTATACTCTAATACAAAATTTATCGCCTTATAATCACTTTTCCAACTTAATAAAATAATAAACTATATAAAAATAAGACTTTAAGTACTTGAGATATAGTTACTTAATTTTATCTAGGAAATTAACCGCCTCAACGAACAACTCCCATAGACTCTTACCTCCAACGTTAGCTTTAGAAGGGAGTAAATTAAGCACTCTAACAACGTAATTAACAACAAAAGGCCATAAATACTCTAAGATATTAAAGTTTATTATTAGAACTCTAGCGCATTGCATAATAATAGCACCGGCTCTCTCGATTTTACCTTACATCCATAGAATATAGGGTATTAATTTCAATAACTCCACGCCTTCTATACGTACCTACTCAACGATTTTACTATATTAGAATTCCTTAATACTAAAACTAAATTCTAGACCGCCATTAAAATTAAATGCCCTAATTTTAAACCTACCGCTTTAAAGCTTAGCCTATTTTTCAAATTCTTTAATTTAAATAAAAGCATTACCCTTATTAACTATAAACCTTGCCCAATGGAAGTTAGTAACCTAATTAATAAAGTAGATCATATATTAATATCCTTTATAGCTAAATAAAGTATAAGAAATAATATTAACGTAAATATATACTAATAATTAAATTGTAATTTTATTAGCGATTTTAGGGATTACATTATAAGCCTTAGCTTTAACGCATACCTTACAAAAGTAGTCTTAAGTATTACTTAATTTAATACCGGCCGCTTCGTAAATTTTAAGAACCTAATCTTTACTTATATATATAAAATGATAATATATTGTTAAATAATTAATTAATACTATTATAGCGTAGCGAACGTCTTAAGGAAAGTCTAACTAAGCAAATACTAAGAGAACTAGAAAGTCGTTAATCTATTTACATTATATTATAACTTTACTGTACACTAATATCTAATTGGACTTTATATTCTAAATTATACTATTATTTAAAAGACCTCTTATAATTAAAAGATTTGCTAAGGTAGAGGGACTATAAATACAAACCTTAATTCTAACTTTAATAATTATATTATTCAAAATGGCTATAATTAACTTAATAGTGCCGATATAATAAGTATAAATCGAAGTTCCATTACCGATAGTATAGACTATTTAATAGGGAAGTAGTTATATATCTATAAATTATTTAAGGTAATTAAAAATATTATTTGTACAACTAGAGTTGTAAATAACCAAATTTTAAATATTATCTAATTATCGATATTGCCTCAAAACCCATTAATCTTTAATTAAATCACTATAAGTATATTAAAATTGTAATAGAAAATAATCGATTAATTAACTACTACTCTAAATATAATTAATATACTTAACAGCATCGATTAGGGGCTCTAGTAAAAATCCATACTACTACCGCCCAAACCGGACAAGCCTATAAATATTCCACCTCTATACAATAAAGTAAAATTAACAATAGTAGTAGGAATAATAAAATTAATTAAAATATTATTAGCAAGGGCACTAGTACCAATATTAATTACCTTCTTAACCATAATCTCCTTCTTAAACTTCCAAATATCAAACGCCTTCTTAAGGAAACAAACCCAGCAAATATCTGCCTTTTTACTAACGTAATAACCACAGGAAACATGCTTCTAGGTAGGGTAAATCTTCTTATTGCAGCTAGTACAATCGATTCTCTTGCCATCATCCTTCTTTTTATTAGTCGAACCAACATTACTATTATTATTATTCTTATTAACATTATTATTATTATTAGCTAACTTCTAGATATTAACGTTAATATTAATATAGAACTCTATATTACTAATATTACTAAACTTAGCTAAAAAAAAACCGATATCCAATTTATTAGCTTCTAAAACGGCTACCCAATATCTAGCATCAATAGGATAAGCAGTCTTTACAGTATTATAAAGGAAAGTAACCTCGAAATTACCGTCGATTATAAACTTAGCATCCTTAATACACTTGCGGAGTAAAGTATAACGAGTAAGGAAAAAAGCTATAATATTAAAATTAATACGCTTAATAACTAAATATTCAATAAAAACTTCACTACGAACCTTATTAGTAATACGGACAATATATAACTAAATAAAATTCTACATAACTTTAAAGTCTCTACCGGTTTTATCCTAACTATTAACGTTTAAAGTAGTAGTAACGTCGGTATTCTTAAAGGTAGAGAGCAGAATTTTATTAACATTAATACATTTAATCCATTAAATATTATACTTCTCGGGCTCAATCGCTTTATTAAACTCCAAAACTATCTTAAAAATATAGTTAACGAACTAAAAATAATCGAACTCAACTATAAATCCCTATTACTAATTGGTAATATTCTAATCGCCGAGGAGGGGAATTAGCGATAAACTAGTAATTATCGTAGGTATGGGAAGGTTAAATATATTAAAAAGAAGAAGAAGAGTAGGTATCACTAAACTAGCCATTATTTAATTTAATTGATTTAATAATAGAATCGTTTGAATCGCTTAATTCGATAATGGGTTTAATTAAATTAATAATTAATTCGATAGAGGGGTTACTATATAATAAATATTAGTGAGAATCTTTATATGGCGAGGTTAGTTTGTAGGCGAGCGGGCGAGTCGTTAAGTCGATAAAGGTCATGGTTACTTCTTTTAACCCGGTACTATAATGCCTTATTGAAATTAGCGATTGAAGCCGACGATGCGCTTTGAGGATGCGCTTGTCGCTTGTCTAATACGATCACAGGGAAGGTTAGAGAGGGCTCATAACCTGTGGGATCACCAACGAGATCAAGCGGTTGGATACGATTAATTGAGTGCTATGGAGAAGAAAGAGGAAGAGGGAGACTGGCCGAGTCTGGAAGGCTAGATATGGTGCGGTCTGGGTAGGGCACAGAGTGGGGATTGGGCTGTGCCCAGTGCTGTGCCCAGTGAATGCCAGAGACCCACCAACAAGTATCCTTATCGGCCTCATTTAACGAGCTATTTAAGTTATTAAACGTTAGTATTTAGACTATAGACTCTAAATTGTGATACGAGAGCCTCAACACTATAACCGCATCTCCAGATTATTCAGTTTGTGAATTTATGGGTAAGATATAGCTGTCTTGAAGACTTGCATTTCCAGCGGCATGTTCAGAACATCAGAAATCCCTAAATTACTAGTTAAAACGGTTGGTATTATATGTCAGCTGTTATTATATGGGGGAGGGTACTCGTTAGGTCTTTAAAACCGACCGTCTGACTAGGGGGCGAGCTACTAGTCAGGGACAGCGACTCGTACATGAACAGCGACTCGTACCGCGAGAGCGACTTTCACTAGCTAGAAAAAGCCCTTGGCGCGAAAGTCGCCCACACTAATCCGGTTAGCGGGCTTACTTGCATATGTATATGGTTTAGGTGTATTTTACCCCTCCGAACTAAATATTTGATGCATCACACCATATACCGTCTCGGTACAAGAATCCGGTACGAGTCGCTGTTCATGTACGAGTCGCTGTCCCTGACTAGTGGCTCGCCCCCTAGTCAGATGGTCGGTTTTGAAGACCTGACGAGTACGTGTAGGAAACGGGAGGGTGCGGGGAGGCTTTCTCTTTATTATTCCTAATATTACGGCTACTTCTATTATTATGACCGCGACTATGGTTGTTACGGTTACCTCTATCCCAATTATCGGAGCTACTACCTCTATTATTATAACTACCTCCATCCCGGTTACTATAATTACTACTTCTATTAATACAACTACTACTTCTATTATTATAACCGCCGCTACAATTATCACAACCCCCTCTGTTATTATAATTACCTCTATTGAAACGGCTACTATATAAATTGTATCTAGGATTCTAATTACCAGAACCTAGACCAGTATTACAATACGCGCTACTACTACTGCTACTACTACTACTATAGTTACTACTCGGGGTTCTAAAAGTACCAGAGGGGTCAAAGCTCTACTCGGGTAATAGGCATCGCTATTTACTAATATTAAGATAAAGGATATTAGGGGGTGCGGGTAGTACTTCCGTAATAACGCTCCTATTAAGACGATCCATCTTAAGCGTCTTAGTTAATCTAACCTACTTAACTACAAACTCTAACAGTTTTTTAATAAATTATTTCCAGGCGACTTCCTTATACCGTTCGTTTAAAGGTAAAATTGAGAAGGTTAGCGTATAATTTTACAAATATTTTTATTCATTTCTTTCCCTCGGACTAAGTCGAACCAACCCTTACTTATAATACATTTAAATTTAATAACGTTTAATATTCGAAAGCCTATATCTTATAACTCCGTTTTGCTATAGTAAAATAAAAGAGCGGTCCGGTCGTCGAAAGTAGCCTCGTAGTTGATATACTTTATAATATAAAGATAAATCTAATCAGAGGTCCTTCTATTAATTTAACTTTCGATGTAGTCTAGGTAATACGTTTAATAGTTGGTATCATTATTAAAATTATCTTCTAAAAGGAATAAATTATTAGAAAAACTTCTTGTAGAAAAAGATATTACAATATAATTAAGAAAGTTAAACGTTTTTATACAATAGGTTTTAAACACATATTCTCGAAGGGCTTTAAAGCACTTAAAATAGGTATTAATTCTATTAATTGTATTAATAACGAGAGTACTAAAAATCGAATTATAATAGTACAAGAATGAAGCCTATCGAAGCTCTTAATTCAATTTGTTAATAGTAATAATGTTATCTTAGAATAGTTCAACACCCTATATACACTCAACGCCTCGCATTAGATTATTACTTTTTATTAATATTTGAAGCGTGCTTCAACTATGCAGAGGAGGTGGATGACTTTCACAGTCTGGGGGTTAAGGACCCACATCCACCGGAGCAGCCTATTAAAGGACGGTTCGTCTACAATCAGGTCTTCGTACAATAGTTTCCTATACTCTCATTAGCTTAATATATAGTACGACCCTACAATTGGTTAGGGCGTCTTACCCCGCTACTTTCTCATTGGTTAACTCGTAGATAGTGTTAATAATAGTTCGCGCAAGAATACACTGGGTCCTTCCGTTTCTGAAATCCTTCACCAAATCTCTCGATATCGCCTATTGATAAAATTAAGTATCGTTATCCTCTTTACTACAAGCAATGAAGCAATGAAGTAATTTAGAGCGATTGGGTGAGGACGGCTGTAGCCGTCCGAACGAGGAATGCAACGGCAAGAGATGTAGAAATCCACGCTTCAGTAATACAGCGGGCGTTGCTTGAACTAGGGATTCAGCATCGCACCGGTGTCTGAAAACTATTTTAATAGGATAAATATAATTGCTATTTACTACATCGAAATCTAGTCTAATAGGCACTCCTTCTTCCCGTAGCTTTTATAGGCTAATACAGCTAGGTTCGTAAAAGCATTCGGGGTAGGATTATTATAATAGTCTACTATCGTCCCTCTTTCCCTTTTTCTACTCACGAACGCTTAAACTAAGGGTTTCAACACCAACAGCAGCACCAAAGGGGGCACTAGAGCCAGAGGCGGCACCAGTACCTCTACTACTGGAAATAGAAGATGTAGGACCCGAACCAGGACCTCTACCGCCAGAACCAGCACCAGAAACAGCACTAGAAACAACACCAAAAACAGTACTAGAAACAGTACTAGAAATAGTACTAGAAATAGCACTAGACGCAGCACCGCTAGGGCGACGAGGAGGAATGCTAATATTACCGAATATATTATTATTATCATCCTTATTATCATTGTTATTAGCGTTAAAATCGTCGTACTTATTGTCGTTTTACTGGGGTAGTTATTAAAAAGCCTCTTCGAAGTTAAAACTAAAATAGGCATCGGATACGCTACGGCCAAATATAATAAACCTATTAATAATCAATACCATTTAATTAAATAAAGGGATAGGCGGTCCAAGACCTTTAACTTTTACGTATTATATTTAACGAAATTCTTCGGCTTTCTATTAGTATACTATTTGTACTTCACAAGCTTCCTCTACTTTATATACTTCCTCTACTTTACAAACCTCTTTTACCTTACGAGCCTCTTTAGCCTTTCGGGTCTTTTAATTAACTTACTTCAATATAGGACCCCTCTATATTAGAGAAAAATCGCTCGTATTAGTAAAGCTTCTACTACGAAGAAAGCGTTCTAAATCCTTCTAATTCGTATTAGGAATAGGAGTACCTATCAAGGTAGCCGGTTAGGGGGTCTAATTAAATGTGGCAAACAAGATTGAAAAAAACTATTACTATATATACTATATTTACTATTATACTTATTATTACATCTATTATTATATTATTCTTATAATAATGATAATCCTGTTCCCTGTACTATATAACTATAGTGCCTTATCAGCATAGGGTCCTTCTCCAGTTCTCTAGAGGGGAAAACCGCACGGCGTTAAGCGCCGTTGGATAAAAACCCCTAGCTACGTTTCGGCCGTAGATTTCTACGCCGCTCCTACTTTATTTATGATTATATGGTGTTTACCTACCGCTATAGCGAATTAATTTCGTCTCCCCTACCGCTATATCATCCCCATACTAGAATAATAAGGATAATAGGAATAGGACCGTTCCCTCGTCCAATTGTTCAAGTATTATTAATATTCCATTCCCTTCTTGAGAGTATCTTACAAATCCCTTATACTAATCCTCCTCCAATTCAATTACCAAACGGTATTCCCTTAATTTCCTTAACCTTAATACCTATAATAGGATCCTCTCGGCTTTAATTCCGTTATCCAAAAACCTTTGGAATTCCTCCTTTATTAGTAGCTAATTTTCGGGGCGCGATCGTAAAAGGGTATCCGTATTAAGGCAATTCAGGATAATATAAACGAAGGTCTCCTTTTCGAACCTATAAGTATAAATAGGTATCAGGACGCCTAGTATTTTCTTCTAGTAGAAGAAAGTTTAGAGATTAATAATCTTTATTTTGACCTAAATTAGGAGGGAGCTTTTTGTTTTACTTAATCTATATAATCAATTATTTTATTCCTTTAAGGTTAGATATTTTCCCCTTTTATTTTTCAAATTAACCACATATTATTAAATAGCCTCTCTATTAAATTTAAGGGTAAGGTCGGAGATAATAAA